ATTCCAGGATTAAGAGTGCTGTCCGATTTGTAGCCGCTGTAGGTAAGTAGGTTTTTCGAGAAAAGGAAATGAAAAACCAGTAAACTAGTCGATTGCTATAGCAAATACAACTTTGCTGCATCGACAATTACCGCACAAAAAGTGATATTGGAAAATGTCGGAAAAGAAAATTATTTTTTATTTGAGAAGTAAAGAAGTTATAAGAGGGAAATAAATAAGTGCTGGGAATGAACCACAAAAGGAATAGGTGAGCGGAAGAGCTCCTAAAATAAACACATTTGATAAGTCTATTATGTAAGGTATAAATTAGATAAGTGTAAAAGTATATGATCATAACATGTAAATCACAGCCACGTCCACGTTCAGCTAATTAGTTGGAATATCTATGTTAAATAGATGCGCCAAGTTTTTATCGATCACAAAGCATAGGCAAAGAGAAACAACAAATGGTAGCTCCGCACTCAAAAGTTAGCTGGATGAAAAAATTCAGAATTGTGCAATATAATAAAAAATTTAGGATTCTAAACTGGTTTACTTGACTAAATAAAGGCGGAGTTGTGTAAATCAATGGTAATTATGATTGAGAATACATGATGGAGAACCGCCGAAATAAAGGTGGCTCAATTAGCTTGGAACTTGGCGAAAACGCCAGTAACAAGACTAGGTCACGAGAACTGCATGGGGAAGCAAGTGCAAAAATCATGTCATGTAATCTCAAAAAAAGTTCAAGAAGGACAATGCGTCAAAGGTTACTGATCATATAAGATGAAATCTTTTTGTGAAATAAAATCGATTTCAAGAATTTATAATAAAAGCATAATACAATAACAAGCCCATATAAAATTATTAGGGACCCCAAAGGAATCAAAATAGTGGCTAAATTTGGCTATATTGCGGCAGGCCAGCGAATATTTTATGCTGATAATGGATTTCTAATTGTCCGGCACATGACAGATGAAGGCTTAGGAGGGATGAATCGGGACTAGAGAGTCCTCGAGACTAATATCCGGCCGAATTAGCCTATAGCATTTTTAAGGTCAATTCCATCTCCCAATGTTCCCATAAAATTTGTCCTTTGATTCACTTTTGGCCAAATTTTAGCATATAATGACGTGAACCATAAATATGAAGGAGAATTTTTCTAAGCAAGCCTTTTAAATTATAATAATATAATACCAATATAGTATAGCTTATGGATCCATACCTGAACGATATCAAGTACACTCCGCTAGGAAGAAGCACCAAAAATTATTATTTTGCCTCCTACAACTAAATAGGTGAAAGCATAAAATGGGCATCGTGTACAAGTGAGTAAATGTGCTAAAAATAAAAACAAGTTTATAGAATATTTTCTGAAAATGTTTTATCAAGACTGTAGATAGCCGAGAGGTAAATGGCATCAAAGCATTTGCAAAATGGGTAAAAAGAGTCTTTTCTTATAGGCAAATGAGATAGAAAGAGATAGGAAATAAAAAGTTTTCCTAAGCCCTGACAGACCTGTCGTTTAATGAAGAGCGTCGAAGTGACCAGTTCTTCTCCTCCAAACCGAAATTCGATAGTCTACACTGCTGCTTCGATGCATAGAGTTCTAATTCTTCCGGCAACTCCGAGGAGAATTTAGAAGAAGATGCTGCCGTCTGCTGTCTAGTGTAACTGGGAGAGGCTAAACAAGATGGTCGCTTTATTAGCAAAGAGGTTCCAGGATGAGGTGACGGAAGAGAAGAAAAATCAAATGACGGCGAAAGACATGAAGAGAGAAATGCCGACGAGGAAGGGTGTAAAGTCTTCGTACGCGCCTGCGATGCTGTCTTTAGCTGAGTTGTCGAGCCACGCTTCGAAGATGCCGGTGATGCTTGAAGTGTGGCTGATTTGAAGGGAAAACGATTAGAACTAGTGGAAGAGGATAATGAAGAATCTTGATCACTTAAACCTGTTGCTGTAGACTCATTGTTTGAAGTATCCGCCTGTCGGGACATGTAGCGAGTTGTGATGCTGCGAATGCTGGGCTGGAAAAAGTGTTGAGCCTCATCGCTTGATGTTTCATTATCAACTGTAAGTGATTTGTCATCGATTTGAGCATGCATCGAGGAACGAGGAAGTCCAAGGAGTGTAGAAGAAGAGGACATCTCGTCAGCCGAGTCTATGCTGACCGAGAAAGTCTTTGCAAACGCCGGCAGATCACCGGCAGGCGAAGCAGATGGAGCTGAAGCAAGCTGGATCAGCTTACAGGTCAGCCCGGCCAGCCGTCTGGGAGATGGACAAAACGTTGGAAGTGTTGAGGTTAATGAAAGACCGGTAGAAGAGCTAATCGAATTGGAAGCATGACCCAACGAGGGATTAAGTAGACTTGACCGATGAGACGTTGGCTCTACAGAAGATCCAGCATCGCCAGGACCAACATTCATGTCCGACATTTGCGAGCGCGACTGAGCGACCTTAGAACGCATGGATAATCTACGCGACCTATCGGAGCTGGAGCAAGTGCAGCTGTTGCTGGCATTTCCTTTCGAATGGGCGTCTGAATTGGTAAAACGGTGGCTCTGACTGCTTGCTCCAACAAGTGGTCGTAATTGCTGTGATGAAGCCTCACTCGTCATAGAGGCCTGTGTTGCACGAATCGAGTGAGAAATGCCAGCTTTTGTCATGTTGCTATGCAAAGCAGTTGTCATGGCTCCAGAGGCAAGCTTGGAAGTGAGTAATTTTCCATTTGAAGTGGCCGTAGGCAGGTTGGCTGACCAAGGCTGCAGACTCGAGGAGAGGCAAGAGACAGTCGAATCCTGTACTGAGAATGCTGGCACAGCAAAGCTTGGAGCATAAAGAATAAAGAAATGCATAGAATTAGGGCAAATTGAAGGCAAATTGAATGAAAACTGTCAAGAGATGAAAAGCAACAATAGAAACCTATTTTTCAGTGGTAACAAATGTAGGAGCATGTTAGACATCTTAAAATAACTAAAGGTTTAGATTTATACGTTCATATATTTGTAGGCTTTAAGTCATAGAAGTGGGTTGACCTCGTTGTCGCAACTTGGTCTGGTTGTCAGGGCGACTATGTAGAAGTCACCTAGTC